GCTCACAGGGGGATAGGGGTGGGAGATGCCCTGACACTGTCCAAGCACCACCAGGGGCTGCCGGGCAGGCTGGGTCTCCTGCAGAACCCTCCAGACCCCAGTGAATCCACAGGGAGAAATCCCCTAAGGAAATGCAAGGGGCACCCGCGGTTTGGCTTTCCTCCTCCGCGGTCCTGTCCCTCCTCCCAGCTGGAGAAGTTCCCAGGGGAGCCGGCAGCATCCTCATTCGGGAGCGGCTTTTCCCTCGGAGTGGCAGCCGCCCCCTTCCCTGGGCAGCTCCAGCCCCCTGGGGTTGACCCCCGCTCCCAAACGAGCACCCGAACTCGGGAAGGGATGGAGTAGGCAGCCCCCGTCCTAACCCAAATCCCCCCCATCCTAACTCAAATCTCCCCTCACTGCTCCCTAGTGCGTTTACTCCATGCCTGTCTCCTTTCCCCCATCACTGGCAGCTCCCAGCTGGAGCACAGCCCCACTCCGAGCATCCCATCCCCATCTCCAACTTACTTGCCCAGTTCCTCAAAGAGCTGGTACTCCTCGGTGAAACGATTGCAGGTGATGGTGGCCATTCCGAGGGGCTGGAAATGCTCCCTCCCCAGTGCCGAGTATGGGACAAGCAGCTCTCCTCTCGCTCCCTCCCTCTCCGTGTGCTCCCGGGGCTCTCTCCTCGCCGAGGTAAATAAGGGAATATGTTTGATTGACAAGCCCGGAGATAATGATGAGGGCAATTTGTCTTCTCAGCTTCACAAGCCTTCGTCAGCATCCCCGTCCCCATGGCGACCACCGCTGCCAGAAACGCCCTGTTTCTGTTGCCCGGGCAACTGCAACCCAAACCCGCCAGGCGCCCGTGGGGACCAGGGCCCTGATGGGGACCCGGCCCTGGGGGCTGCCCGGGGGTCACTCTGCTGCTGAGGAGAGGGGGGGGAAAGCCTAAAATGCAAATATTAAAGGCAAATTAAAGGACATGGCAGTGGAAGGATAATTGGGGCAAAAAGGGTTTCCATGGAAACCCTGGTTTTCATATTGCAGGAGAATGCTGTCACCTCGGCAACTGATTTTACCCCCCAAAATATAGGCCCTGCAGTAGCATCCCTCCAGGACTGGGGGGCTCTGGGATGGGGGACACTGGGGTGGGTGGGAGCCAATGGAGCAGAAGTATGTCAGGAGAAGCTGGAGCAACCATGGCAGGTCCCCAGGTCCCTAGGCTGGCCTTTCATCAGCCAGGGTCCCCTGAGGGGGTGGCCCCGATTGCGCTGCAGGGGAGGGCTGGCAGTGCTGGGGGATGCTGGGGGTCTCAGGATGGGATAGGAGCAAAGTCTGCCCCCTCCTCATCAGGCTTTTTGCTGCTACTTTTAACTTCAGAAGACACAGAAAGGGAAATGAAAGTGGAGTGATGAGGGCCAAGACCTTGCTGCCTGCACCCACAGGGGATCCAGCACCTTCTCCTCCATCTACACACCCCCCCCCCATGCACCTTCCCACCTCTGAGCCCCCCAGAAGAGATTTCTTCTAAGCTATTGCCCTGTTTCTGGATGATTTTGCAGCAGGAGGAGCTACCACAACCCCAAAAGATGGGGCTCCCATCACTGGCTGGGAGGGTATTGCCTTTGGCAGCTGAGATGGATTGAGTTCCCTTTCAGGCTGCCACGGAAGGGTTAAAAGGAAAAGAAAAGGCTCCAACCAGACAAAAATAGGGAGAAATCTTTGAGAGGAGATAGAGAAGGAGGAGCAGAGAGAGGGAGAGAAGAAAGGAGGTGGAAGTGGAGGAGGACAGCAAGTGGCGGAGTGAGGAAGAAGAGGGGGAGGAGGAGAAAGGTCTAATGGCTTTTCCATTAATTGCACCATTACCCACCTTCATCCGCACCTTGCATCCCCGCATCCAGCCTCCCGCTCCTGCATGGCCCAGCCAGAGGGGGACCCTGGTGCCAAGGACACAATTCCCACTGCATGGACATGGCATGCAGCCGTGCGCCCTAAGGGCCGATGGACTCCAGACCCATAAGGCCTTGCCATCACATGGGCAGAGCACACCGTCCACCACGGATGACATACGTGTTCAATCTGTGCCCTGGGATGTGGTGGTACCCAAAACACCACCCTGCCCATGCCCGTCTCCTCCCCATCCTGCTCCCACATGACAGGGGATTCATTCATCCCACCCAGAGCTGTGCCTGGAGGCAGGGGGCTGCCGTGGGAGCTGCTGCAGCCATATGGATGCTCATGGAATGTTCTCCTCCTCCAGCTTTATGCTGCCAACCCCTATCAACCCCTTGGAGCCAAAGGATAAGAGGAAGAACCCCCACACCAGACCCACAGATGCCCGGGGGCAGCTCACCCCGCCTCGCTCCTGCCTCTGCTGTCATACGTGTGCCCATGGGCGCTGCAATGTGACCTGCCCCCTCTTCCCGTGCCACCCTGGGGCTGGCACATGTGTTCAGCCCCACACACATGATCCCGCAGTCAGGAGGAGGGACCTGGCCCTTCCTTCCCTCCAGAGCTCCTTCTGCACTCCAACACCCTCAACAGGGGGCAGGGGGGATGCCAAAGCTCTCCATGGGGACCCTGCCTCCCTCCCCAGGCTTCTCCTGCCTGGCACAGATGTGGCTTTCTAGGAAAGGTTTCCCCCTTCCCGCACTCTGTTCATTTTCCCCCTTTTTCCTCTGCTTTTTCTCCCTCCTGGGGGTGAGGGGGTGTCAGGCTCCTGGGTGCTCAACATGCTCTGCTCTGCCGGTGATGCACTTCCCAAGCGGGAACCGCTGTGTGGCTCCGCTCCCGGGTGCCTGGAGAGCACCCAAGGGGAGCAGAGCTCCGGACGGGATTGTCCCGCTCTGGCTGGGGGCTCTCCCGCCAGCTCCCAGCGGAGGGCAGCAGCTCCAGCCGCTTCCCAGAAGCCCTAGGATTTGTTTTGGATGTCTCCCTTTGGCCGATGCCTCTGTTCCCGGCCAGCCCAAGATGTGCTCCTGCAGGGCCCTGGAGAGCCAAGCCGCCGTGCTCGGGTCTGACCGCCTGATGGAGACCTTCATCCCCAGCAGCTCCTCTCCATCACTGGGCTGCCTCTCCAGGGATGCTGCCTGCTCTCCCAAATATCCACACACACAGCGAGTTTCTGCATCCCAGGATGGGCACCTGAGGTCTGGTGCTAAACCCCAAATGCACTGGATGGGCTCAGGGAGGACCAGTGTGTCCCGGGGGGGGCTGCAGCAGGTTCCCCCCTCCTCCCAGGACATTTCATGGGCCTCCGGGAGCTTGCAGCAGTTCCTCACATGCAAAACCAGTGAAGCTGCCAATTACATATTGCAGACATCCCAGAATTACTGGGACAGTTTCACACACAAGCTGGGGTCTGGGGGATGTTCAGTTGCTGTCCTATGGGAAGCTGAATTTGGGGTTATTTTTAGATAAAGATTATAAATACCATGGTAAGAAGAGTTGATTTACATTGAGGGTTGTGTCTGCAGACGTGCCCTGTCCCTGCAGGTCCCAGTGCTCACTCCTGCAGCCACAGGAACCTGCTTTGAGCTGGGACACGGTGTCCCCAAGGCCACCTTCTCCCAAACACCAGGATCCATGGGCAGGGATTCTCCTGCGGACATGGCCATGAATATTTGGGGACCCCCAGCAGGAGCCACATGGCTCCCTGGAGCTGGCTTTGGGTGGGGAGAAACCTCAGCAAAGCCTCTCGTCCTCACACCCCTGGAAGGAGAAAGGATGCGACTGCCTGGTATGAGATACAGCCCCTGGTCCAGAGCAGCCTCTCCCCAGCACGAGGTGCCCAGGGTGGACACCCTCCCACCATGGCATTTCGGTAAGATGCCCATCCTCTTTCCACCTACTTCCCAAGTGGAAGATGCCTGTGGGGCTGGAAAGGAACCTCCAATCCTGCCTGCTCCATCCTACCCCCATCCTCATCCTTACACTGTCCCCATCTCCATCCCATCCCAACTCCATCCCACCTCCATCCCCATCCCATCCCAACTCTATCCCACCTGCATCCCTATCCCATCCCAACTCCATCCCATCTCCATCCCCATCCCATCCCAACTCTATCCCACCTGCATCGCTCTCCCATCCGAACTCCATCCCACCTGCATCCCCATCCCATCCCAACTCTATCCCACCTGCATCGCTATCCGATCCCAACTCCATCCCACCTGCATCCCCATCCCATCCCAACTCTATCCCACCTTCATCGCTATCCGATCCCAACTCCATCCCACCTTCATCCCCATTCCATCCCATCCTATCCCCACCCTCATCCTCATCTCTGTCATCATCTTATGCCCTTCCATCCCACCCCACTCTCACCTCCTCCCAGCCCACTGGCCCTAGATGCATCCCCCTGCCCCATCCTCTCCGCAGGGCCTCATCCTGCACCCAGCTCCTGCTGGAGTTTGGGACAGCCTTGGGTTTGCACTGCTCTTTGGAAGGTGGTTGGGAAGGAGGGGTGTGCTCAGCCTACATCTCCACCACCCGAGCACCTCCCCAGCTGCATTAACCCCTTGGTACCCAGAGTGCACAGGCACTGCCGAGGTGCTTGAACTGTGCAAAAACACAGGATTTGGGCACAATCTTCATTCTTTCCTGCAGAGACCATTAATGAGCAGTGGTGGGATGGGGAACCCAAGCAACAGCCAATGTTCAAATACGGGACTGGAAACAGGTGAAGGACAACTGCTGTCCTCGGGCTTGAGGCTCTGCACTGAGCACCCAGAGATGCTCCTGCTGACTTTTCCTCGTTGTTTGCAGGGACTGAAACTTTTCTTCAACTGTTTTTCTTTTTGTAAAAACTCATAATGCAACTTTTTTTTAATTAAAACAAAAGAAGAACGCAGACCCAACGCTATGGCCAGGCTGTGAGCCTGGCACCACCCCAGCGACTGGAAATGAAGCAGCACCAGGCCAACCTTGTCATGGGGATATTAGTAAAAGTGAAGGGAGAAAAATCAAATGTGTTTTCATGGAAATTTCCATTTTTGAAGAAAAAAAAAAAATAAAAGAAGGACTAAACTTGGATGCATTTATATAAATATGGAAATGAAAGCTGTTTCCCAAGCCTTGTCGCCGCCCCATGGCCAGCCCCGCTCTCCCGCTCCCTTTGGCATCAGTTCTCCCTTTGCAGTGCCTTGTTCCAGAGCCCCCAGCAGCCATCACCCCTTGCCCAGCTCCAGCTCAGCCTGCAGCAGTCTCCTGTTCTTCAGCAAAGCATTGCTTTATATTCAGCAACTGGTTGGCTTTGCCAGTGGGCACACCGATGGAGTGAATCCCATGGGACCGGGCTGGACGGTTGAGGTAGTTTGGGGATGTGCAGCATCCTCCTGGGGCTCACCTCCAATGGGGTGATGCTGCAGGGACTGGTCTCCATGGAGCAATGTGCTAAGGGAGCCAGGGATGGAGAAGGGGCTGATGAAGGAGCTGAGTTCCCCTCTGAAACCTCTCCTTAGGGATGCAGGGGGCCGACGGGATGGCATGGTGATGGGCGTGCATGGAGCACCTGGGACCGATGCACACACTGCCACGCTCCAGCTTCGCAAACTCCTTCTCATCTCTACAACAAGAGGTCTCCTCTATTCTGCCTCGCTGTCAGCTTTCTCTTTTTTTTTTTCTCTTTGTTTCTATAGAAAATCCCAATTCCCCCAAATAATCCAAGCTAAGAGTAAGAAGGGGGGGAAAAATACAAATGTGTCATTGCATTCTCTTCCCATCCCCGTCCCTCTCTCTCACACACAGGGCTTGAAAGCACACTGAAAGGTATTCAGCGTGCACGCTGCCAATTGTCACATCTTTCAATGACAGATTTTAAATGAATGTTATTTTGCAAGGGAGAGAGAAGGGGGGGGGGGTAAAAAAGAGGGGAAAAAAATAAAAAAGAAAGCCCACACTGCTCATCCAAGAGCTGACAAGTCCTAACGGGCCTCATTTTCCAGAGACAAAAATAACTATTTTCAAAATTCACAGCAGGGCCTTCGCCTACACACGCTGCACCAAGAGAAACCTGTGGGGAGAAATGTAAAACACATTGTGTAAATGGAAATGCACCATGCATCCCAAGTGCTTTTCGAGCTATTTACCCTCTTTCATCCTCGCCAGCTTCTCCTCCGAGCACACGTACGCATGCGCGGGGGGGCTCGGCACTGGTCCCGAGCTGCCGCAGGGGCTGGCTCCCCATGGCAGGGGGGTGATGATGGGGAGGTGTTTCCCAGTTCAGTGCTGGTGCTGATGGGAGAGTGGTGCCCATCTGCAGGCAGGGGGTGTGGTGTGGTGCTGGTAGGCAAGAGCTGTCCCTGTCCCCCTCCATGGCTTTGGGGTCCTGCAGCTAAAGAGCAGCACATCAGCCTCTGCAGAGACCTTCTGGAGATGTTCCCTCTGCCCCAAGTTCAGCAGTGGGGATGTGGGGATGGGGCTAACCCCAGCACAGGGAAGGGGTAGTTGGGTGGATGGATGTGTGGGATGGATGGGGAGGAGCATGGGTGCATACAGCCATGCACATGGTGATGGTAGAACCTGTGGATGGAAGGGTCTGCTGGGTGGCTGATCCATGGGAAATCCACCAGAACCTGGGACAAACCTGCCTCCCAAATGTGGGGTCATAGGGAACCATGTGGCCTCTAAGAACATCCAACCACATCTGCATGGGCCATAGTTCCTCACTGGGGCTGCTCCTGGTCCCCCAAGCCAGTGGAGGGGAGAAGGCATGGTTCCTCTAGCAGCAAGGCTGAGTCCAGCCATTGCAATCTCAGATCTGATGTCCATGGTCAGGAATCCATCCTTCCACAAAGAAGTACAACAGGGAAACACCATGGTCTCAGGTTTGGGGGAGCAAGAGCAAATGTAGCAGCTGCCTGGAAGCAGGCAGAGTCAGGAGCATGGATATACAAGGACAAGACGAGGGACGACCTGCAGGCAGAGCCACCCCAGGGTCTCATGCTTCCTCCTGCCACTGCAATGGTCAACTTCAAAGCTTGGGATTGCCTGCAGAGTCCTTGGCAAAAGGGTCTCTCTCTTCGGAAGGGGCTCTGCATGGGCCAGCTCAGCTCAGCAGACTTGCACTACATCACCAAGGACCATGACTGAGCCCACATCACCCTTCCTTGCCCACCAGGACCACCTCCCTGCTGCCACTGGTCCCGCCAGAGAGGAGAAGTGTTTTGAGGTGAACCCTGGATTAAGGAAGAGTAAGAGACTGTTGTCCATCTTCATATCTGTCCCTCTCCCTCGCTCCCACCCCATGGCACTGCCTTCCAGAGCTCCAGCCTGGCCAGGCTGGGTCAATGCTGGGGGAGTCTCCCATCAGATGCGGTTGGACATGAGCCTGGTGTTCAGCTTGCGGAAGAAAGAGCGCAGCTTGCAGATCTTGCACTTCTTCTTCTTCTTGTTCCTGCTTTTCAGGGGCTCCCCACCGCCTTCCCACTCCTCCCCATCATCCTCACTGGCCCAAGGTCCCCAGGCACCGCCATTGAAGTCCGGGTGTGCTCGGGGGTTCTCCGCAGGGTACCGCACTGGGATGGCCGTCCGGTTGTAGTGCACCAGCCTCATCAGGAGGGTCCTCACCACGTCTGGGCGCTGGTCCGAGAGGTCGTAGCGCTCATAGGGGTCAGCGGTGATATTGAAGAGCCACACGGACTTCCTCAGGCCATTGGTGAGACGCTCCAGGTTCCACCAGCTCCCTGGGAAGTTGGTCAGGGTCTGTGGGGGGATCCAGTCGCTGTATCCCGGGTCACCAGTGAGAAGCTTCCACTCCCCGACGCGGATGGAGGCCTGCACGGCCGTGTTCCAGATACCAAAGCCATCCTCCAAGGAGCCATACTTGGCGTGGTTGTACAGGGGGTCAATGTTGTGCAGGATTTCAGTTCGTGGCGACTCCTTGCCCTCACTGATGGCAGGCCACACGTTGTATCCATCCAAGCCTGGCACGTTGCTCAGGTTGCCCCTGGCCAGGCTGACCAGAGTCGGGTACCAGTCTGTGATGTGAACCAGTGCCCAGCTGGTCCGGCGTTTGCGCTTGATGAGGGGACTATGGACAAAACCGATGCCACGAACTCCTCCTTCCCAGTACGTCCCTTTGCGGCCCCGTAGCGGCCAGTTGCTTCCCCCAGAGAAGGTCTGCCCACCGTTGTCAGTGGAGAACACAATCACACTATTGTCATAATAACCATACTTCTTGAGGGCCCAAGTGATGTTCTTCACCGCCTCATCCATGCACGTCACCATGGCAGCGTACTTGCGGCGGGCAACATTGCCCATGGAGCGGTAGCGGTAGATGTACTCCTTGGGGGACTGCAGAGGCGTGTGGACCGCTTGGAAGGCCACATAGATAAAGATGGGCTCCTTGGGGCTGTGGGATGCCAGGATCTTGCTGACGCGCTGGGCATAGAGGAAGGTGGAGTATTTCCCACTCTGGTCCCAAGCCACGTCCTCCCCTTCGTGCAGGTCGTAGCCACAGACACCCGGTCCATCACAGTTGTCATAGGTGTAATAGTCCACATTGCCCGTCAGGGAGCCCAGGAAGGTGTCGAAGCCCCGGCGGGTGGGCAGGCATTCCTTCTTGTAGAAGCCAAGGTGCCACTTGCCCACCATATGTGTGGAGTAGCCGGCTTCCTGCAGCTTCTGTGGCAGGGTGACCTGGTCGAGGGGCAGGCAGTTGGGCTGCCGAGGGCGGATGATGGAGTGCTGCAGCCCTGTGTGGATCTGGTACCTGCCAGGGAAGAGCCAGGAGGAACCGATGGTGACAGGGAGCAGCTCTGAGTGGGAATGAGATGGCATTTTATGTGCTGGAGACCCCAAATGTATACAGATCTCCATGTCACCCAAGGCAGCCCTGTAGAGCAAGCTCCACACCAGAGACCTGGAGGTCCTGATCTATTCAATGATACTAAAAGCAGATGCAAAAACAAGAGGGGGGCTGAGCAGACATCTCAAAATCACACTGGGCTGCCCCACCAGGATGCCACCAGCAGTTATCCCTGCTGCTGCCTGCCCATGGAGGGTGGCTGGGCTCTGTCAGGGCTGGGCAGCACAAGCAAGAGTTGTGCAGCAATTCCTGTGGGTTTGCAGTGCCATATCCATAGGCACCTCCTACGGTGAGTGTTGACTTCCCAGGGCTGCTCCAGGGTAAGCCCCTTCTGTCCTAGGAGGCAGAACGTCCCAGGGTAAGGGGAGATTTGAGTGTGTGCTATGGGAGAGGGCAATGGACCAGCAACCAGCAGGCCCTCGATAATGCAGCACTGAACACACAAGTGGGAAATACACAGTCCAAGGGACTCACAGATGCAGGGGAGAATGATCCTTCAACCCCATAGCCCAGCAGCAAATCCCCAAGGACCAGTGTGACAGCAGCATGGGACAGCCTGGGGATGCAGCTCCTTGCCTGGCACTGCAGGACCTCATGGCCAGAGACCACCTTTACCCAAAGTGACACCCTCTACCCAATAGCATCTGCATTTTTGGCCTTGCCATGTGCTACTATCTCCCACGAGAAAATCAACTGTTTACTCATGAAGCCTTCTAAGGAAAGCCAGCAAGATGCCTTCTCTGGAGGTTCTCCATCATCTGCCAATACATGGGGCCATCTGCCTAGCAGTGAGCTGGGGTTAAGCTCCTCAGAGCTAAGGAAGGGACAGGAGGAGGGACACAAGTGGGATGTGAGCCTTACCTGCCAGTTATGAGCTGGCTCCGGGACGGGGTGCAGATGGGCTGGATGTAGTAGTTCTCCAGCTTAACCCCCTCGGCCGCCAGCCTGTCCAGCGTCGGTGTCTGGATATCAGAGCCGTGGTACCCAACATCGTGATAGCCCTGGTCATCAGTCAGAATAAAGATGATGTGGGGTGGCCTGGAAAAGGTGGGGGGCAGCACTTTCTCCATGGGGTCCATGGCCACGTCGGCCACCAAACTGGGCTTCATCCAGTCCCAGGATAAATAGCCAAAGCTGAGCAGGCTGACGAGCGAGAAGCCCGTGAGGGCATAGACGGCCATCCCGGAGCACGCCTGCGAAGGGAGCTACTGTCCCAGCATCGTCTGGGAGCCACAGAAACAGGAGTTATCCCGGTCCTGCAGGGGAGCCCCCCAGGTTATGGGATGATCCCCGCACCCCCTGCAGCTGGTTTAGCAGGAGCAGCTCCCAGGAAGGCACACTCTGGAGCACACAAAGAGCTTTAATCCGCCGGGGCTGGGTTGCCTTCAGTCAAAAGAAAATAACCCTCGCGCCGCTCCAATCAAACCCATCTGCGCGGCAGGACGGGCTCCTCGCCGTGATCCCCAAGCATCCCGAGCGCTGCAAACACTTCCTGCCCGCCTGGCGTTCTCTCGCTGCTGTTACTGCTTTATGAAGGACCCCATTAAAACCTCGCTGGAGGAAGTAGCTGGCGTCTCCTCTGCTATCCCGACACGATGTGATGATCCTTTCCTTTCAACTCCTGCGGAAGAGGGTGCTAAAGTTCAAGCCCAGGGGTGCCGAGCGCTCCTCCGAGCTCTCCCAGGGAAGGAAAGCCGTCCCACTCCTTTACCCAACCTCCGCTGCAAAACACTGAGTCCCAACATCTGTCTGGGACGTGGGCTAAGCCGCCAGGTTTATGGGGAGCCGCAGGCTCGGCCCCTCCCAGCTCAGCAGCTCCAGGAAAAAGCTGGGAAGCTCCAGAGAGTGCAGGGTCCTAAGCGTGGTGTTCCCTGAGCCACCAACCCTGCCCTCCCTGCTTGCCCTGAGATGTGTGACCATGGCACGGGTGGGATGCTCAGCCCAAGCCCTGCAGCATCCAGACAGGAGTGGGAAGGGCTGTGTCCCTGGGGCGGATTGCAGGGGCCAGAATCACCAAACAAATAAATCCAATCCCCATCCAAATAAATCCTGGGCAAGGGGAAGCTGCTAAAACTTGTTGGGACACCCCCAGTGTTGAATCAAAGCACCCAGGGGCATGCAGAGCGCTACAGAGTGGGCTGGGTGCTGCTGCACCCATTTTCCAAGTGGGGAAACTGAGGCAGAGAGGGGCCGTTCATACTGGCCATGGCCACAGACAGCCAGGGGCAGGGTTTGGTGTGCACTAGGTCCCTCTGTCAACGCAGGGCACTGCTCTGAGCCTGGGGGCTCAGGATGGGGAGCAGGGGGGTGGGAGGCAGGGATGGGTGGCTGTTCCTTCCCTGCTGGCAGCAGCCCCGGCTCACTGGAAGGAGCACGGCAGGGCTGGGTTGAGCCTTTCAGTGAGGTTTGATTAATCCCTGTGGCTTCATCACTCATTTCTTACGCCTGCTTCTCTTCTCCCTTCTCCTCGCTCCTTCCCACCACTCGCCTGCCTCCCTCACGTCTCCCTCTTCTCCCCTGACAGCGTTAAACAGTTCCCTCCTCTTGGCAAAATCTGGACCTGACTGAATAGGAAGAGAGGTGGTTTGGGATCCCCAGCTGCTGGGTCCTGTTATCCCTCCATGGTTCCCAATGGGTCCCTGCTACCCAGGGAGACCCCTCTGTGTCCCCCTTCAAGGGGCTGTAGGGCTCCCTGAGCATCCCAGTCTGTGGCCCCACAGACATGGCTCCATGCAAACCTTGGGGCAGAGACAGAGTTATCACCATGGTTTATAATCACAGCTCTTTCCAAATACATAAATAATAGTCAGTTTGGGTGAACAGCACAGATTAGAGAGGAAACTGGAGATGTCAGGGCTGAGATGAGGCAGAGAAAGTGTGTTTGAAGCAGCACAGACCACAGATGAGCTGTGTCTTGTTCGGCATGAGAAGGGAGGTGCAGGACGGGGGCAGCAGAAGGGATTCTCTGGCCACAGAAGTGGGCTGGAGCCCACCTCCAAGGAGAAAGAGCAGAGCTGAGCACCTCCTGGGTCCCAGATCTGCATGGAAATCCATGCTGGGTCCGAGCTGGTCCCAGGTCTGGGAGCAAAGAGCAGGGTTAACTCAGCTCAGGGCTTTCCCAAGGGCCAGATGGTGAATCAGTAGTGAGTTTGGTGGCACTGACCCTGCTCTGAAGGGTTGGGGCAGCCAGCTGGGTCCCAGCACATAGACACCTCCCAGGAAGGGGATGATGCATTCTCCTCCAAGGCATGATAAGAAGGTGAAAAGCATCAAATGGCACATGGAAATGCTTTCGCTCCCAGGAACAATGGGGTGCAAAGGGACTCTCAAATCCGTGTCCCTGAAATCATCTGGTGGGGAGGCAGGAGGTGGCAGGGAAGAGGAGGAGGAGGAAGAGGAAGAAATGACAACCCTTTCCTGGGTCAGGACGATTCAAGCCAGACACATGGCTGCTCTGTGGGTGATTAATGCATCCCAAGGTCTAGGGATGGAAAAAGGCCTGCCGCCTCCCTCCCCACTGCTCTTCATTCCAGGCAGTCACTCGTCCAGCCTTGCTCAAAGATGTCTCATGAGCCAGGAGCTTCCTTGGAGAGCTCCAGCACGTTGCACAACAGGGAGGTTTCCCCTGGCAGCCAGCCTGGCCATGGATGCTGAGCCAGCCGGCAGACCCTGCCTGCTTCAGTCCTGCATCTGCCCAGGCGAGGACAGCCCCGCTCCTCCCCATACACCAGCTGCTGACACAGAAGACACTGAACCTCACTCCCAGCCTGACCCATGGCGGTTTTATTGGTTCAGGGGGATGGGGAGTCCCATCTGGGGAGCTGGGTGCTGGTTACAGACCCAGCAGTGGCTCTGTGGGCAGAGCATCACCCACCTCACCCCAACCCAGCTTCCCCATCCCAGAGTATCACCTACTGCACCCCAGTCAAGCTTCCCCATCTCACAGCATCACCCACTGCACCCCAACTGAGCTTCCTCATCCCAGAGCATCACCCACTGCACCCCAGCCGAGCTTCCCCATCCCACAGCATCACCCACTGCACCCCAACCCAGCACTTCCACATATCCGCAGACCCTTCCCAGCTAGAAGCAAGCCCCCCGTTCCAAGAAATCACACAGCAGATGGGATAAACCCATCAGCCAAAGCCCAAAATGCCCTTTTTGATGCATTTCAACCTGGTGGCATGACCCACAAAGCAGCAAACCCTGACCAGTGCCTGGTCCCTGCGTGTCCCTGCAGCTGGCAGAGCTCCCCGCATTCGCACAGCTGGTTCTTTAACCAAATATTTGAATATTCCCTTTTTTTTATTTCATTAATTTCATGTGGCCTGGGGCAAGAACGAAAACAAACACAGCCCTTCCTGCTTGTTTCTCCCCACTGCCCCCCGGCTCCGGCCGCACTTGTGTTTTGGCTCCGAAAGCACTCGCTCCAAGCGGGGTTATGCAAACAGGCTCCACATATTTCTCAGCGCCTGCGATGTGCCACGAGGCCACACAGCAAAGTTTCAAACCAACCTTCAAATCTTCTACTTCTTTTTTCCCCTTATTTCCCCCCCTTTTCTTTATTTTTTAACCCTTCCAGGGGCTGGAGCCCCTTCAGCCCTCAATGCTGCCTTTCTCTCTCCATCAATGGGGCATTATGGCAGGGGAATTATTGAAAGCAGAACTCCCAGGCTTTACAATGGGAGCTCTGTGCAAGGCAAATATTGCACAATCTGTTTGCACGGTGCCCTTCCCCCTCACGCTTTGGCCTTGGGCCTGTCGAAATGGACCTTAAAAATAAGAAATATGAAAGGGTTTTAATAAGTCCCCTCTCTCCTTCTTCAGAGCAAGACATTTGACCTAACGGGGCATTGGGGAGCCAAGCCCGGCCTCGAGAAAACACAGCACGTCGCTCTCGCCTCTCAGATGTTTAAGGGTTTCCGCTCTCCCCGGCCAACGTGTGATGCATTTATTTTTTTATTGGCACGATGAAAGAGCCCAGGCAAGTCTGGAAAAGAAGGGAGCAGTCCCAGGAATGGTGAGAGATTGTTAGTTTGTCTAGAAGGTGGGGAAGAAGGGCTCAGAGGAGGGAGAGGCAAGGAGATGCATGGGGAAGGAAGAAGGCTCGAGGCATTGATGGTCCCAAGCTGGAGGTGAGCGTCTCTCTATTGACTTTGGGAGCCTCCAAGAGGTCCCAGTCTTCATGCCCTTGGACTAGGGATGGATCATGGTTCTATCCTGGTCTTCTCTCTGCCATGAGCACTCTGCTCCCCTGATGTCTTATCTTCCAGGGATATACCCTTGGGACCATCTCCCCTCCCTGGTGCACAACGGGCAGGCAGCACTTCTGCCAGGCAGTGCCAGGTCCTGTTTCCTCCCTGACATCCCCTAAAAAAATCACATTTTCCCACTCCAGGACCTCATTTTCCCCACCCCGAGCCCAGCACCTCCCTGCCTCTGGCCACAATGGACCCTGTGGGGAGAAGATGATTTTGTAGCAGCAACCACTGAGGCGAGACCTCAACCAGATTACAGGGATGGGGCTTGGATTGGGGGAACTCAGAGGTTTCTGAACACACCATAATGTTCTCTCTGGAAGCTGGAGCCAAGGGAGGAGAAAAGAGCAAATGTGCATTGGATCCTGCTTATGCAACCCTCATGATCGTTAAAGGAATGAGGAGCACTGCAGCAGCAGCCATGGCATTGGTTGCCAAAGCCCCAGGGTAGCACATTATGGGGGCAGAGAGGAGAGCATCAGCCATGGCTCTGTCAAGGGCTCAGCAGCACTGCTGGATGTTGCTCTTGGAGCCAAACAGCCTCTTTTTTTCAATACCCTGCCCGTATTTCATTGCCATTTGCGCAGTTGAAAATAATCATCATCATCAAAATGCACTTAGAAGCCGTAGCACAATATTAGAGTCTTTTCTAATGTAAACCATAGCCTCTAACAACACATGTTGGGCTTGGCGAGGATTTGTTCCCAATCAAAACACTGCAGCTCTCCTTCCTCCTCTCCCGGTCTCCCAGCACTAGTGAAATATGAAATAAAATCCCTAAATTAGAGCAGTTCGGCTCTTTAGTTAAGGAATTTTTCTTCCAGTTTTGGTCACTGAGGATACATCTCAATGATTCTGCAAATTCTGCCATGAAACGGCTTCAACACCTTCCTGCTCGTGTTTGATTTTCCTCCTTCCCCTTCAATCAGGAGACTTCAGTCCATCGGCTCCCCTTCCTCCATCTGATATTCCTCCCCTCGCCGTTCCCCACTTCCCGGGAAACTGCAGCTCGCCGCCTTCTCCTCTCCTCTCTCTAACGACTGGCGTGCTTGCTTGGAAGAGCTGGAAAGGAGCCCATGGGTTTGGCACCGCTCCTTTCTTCCCATGCCTGATGGCAAGCTTTCCACATCGCCTGGGTGCTCTCCCTCCTCATCCTGCTCCCCCTTCCCAAGCCCAAAATCCACACCCCTGGAATCAAGGCGCATCCCACTGCAGCTTCCCAGCAGAGCCCTGCTGCTCGCATGATGGATGGAGAGTTCCCAGTTGATGTGAGTCAGGGATGTGTTGGGACATGGATCCCCACAGGATGTGGGGAGAATGTAGGGGAAGCAACCTCAGCCTGGCTTTGCAAGCAGGACAGGCTGGAGGTGAGGAACCTGCCTGTGTGATAGAGATGGAAAGCTAGAGAGCACACTGGGCAGGTGGATTTGCGCTGAATCCCATTGGGCTCTCATGGCTCAGGATCCTGATATTGCTCTGCCTCAACACACATCTCTTCCAGAAGGACTGACCTTTGCTAAGATCTCCTGGCCTCAATGGACTGACTATCTCTGAAGCAGAGGAGTAGGTCCCAAGACAGCAGAAGGAAGGATTTAAGCATTTAGCATAGCT